TTGGTGGGATTAGACCTAAATATCTTGTACTGAGACCATTAGAGGAAAACAAGAAAAGATAGAAAATATTGTGGGTGAATTTCTACTGCTCTTGTCTAGGGAAGATGCATCCATTTCAGTGGGGGGAAATGCACATACATCCATGCTGGGATGGGAAGGCAGCTAGGAAGAAGGATAAAGCCACCAGAGACCTCCACCAGCATTATGGTGACTTCTTTTACTTAATTTCTCTTCTCTATCCAACACACTGTCAGAGACCAGATGAATAAAAGCCTGTGAAGGACCATGTGGTGCGATCACGGGGAGGGAACTCTGTCATGCTCTGAGCAGGAGGCTGAGCTGCTGAGATCGTGCAGTGAAAGTAGGAGCACACACACCTCGCCCAGAAGGTCCTTGCACCAAGGGGAAGCCCATTTCTCCTTCCTCACTCAGCCTTGCGAAGGGAAGCCACGCTTGAATTTTCTGTACTAGATACTGCTGTTCCCAAGGAGGTGACTCTCTTCCACCTCCTGCTTTCTGGCCCCTGTGCCACCCACTTATTCCAACATCTCTCTGCTTGTTGCCACTCAGCACAGCAGATCGGGGAGTGATCTGTGTTAAAATTACCTTGTCATCAACAAAAACAAAGAGCTATTTTTAATCTTCCCAGTCAGTTCCATGAGAAAGTCTGACTTTTTATGCAGCCATGAGCTAACAGGGCATGCGTTATTTAACCTCACCCTTTCTGCTTCTCAGACCTTTTTTCCACTCCCTTAGTCTAGCTGCTCTGACCAAACATGACCTGCCCCTCTCAAGTCCCTCCAGGCTGCCCCAAGAAAATGAGACTCCATCAGAGCTCAGCCCCCAGTCTACCACCTACGTCTGTGAGGAACAGGAATAATGGGTTTGAAAAAAGTTAAGTCTAACACTGACTTTCCCATAGGTGCAAGTATGACCAATGGCTGAGTGCCGGCCTCAAAGAAAAAGGGAATAGAGAAAGGGAAAGAAGAACTTTGGATAGCAGGAGGAGGATGGATGTTGGTTCATGCCCTGTGTTATGTCAAGCACATGAAAGCCCAGCATGCTGAGATTGTTCCCTGCATCGACCCCCTCCAGGGAGATGGGGAAGCTGAGGATCTTGTTAGTGTGACCAGGTCCCCTTTGCTCCTGAAATGCCACCCCACATCTTCTCACAATGAAAGGGAGAATTGAGTGCAGACGCTTCACAAACAAATTTCTCTTACCTCCAACTCCATATCCTCTCCCCTCTAGCTCTTATCTCAGTAATTAAATATGCAGCTGAGGAAACTGATTTGGAAAACAGATGGCATGCAAGATGCTATAGAAAATAGTGGTGCATTTTAAATCTTACAGCAGAGACACAGATTTGGGTGGTATATGGGCCTTGAAGTGATTGAACTTCAAGAGCTGCTTGTGCAATGACCTTTAACAAGAAGGGATGAATGGCCCTCTAACCTACAACTTGATACTTACAATCAAGAATGCTGTGGCTGGTCTGATTTGCCACAGAAATTGGTGTGACCTAACCAAGTTCTTGGTAACTGTCAATGATATGAAATATGGGCTCTGGGCAAGATGGAACCCTGAAGCAAGCCATTTAGCCTAGCACTGGTCTGCAATGTAAGGGGAAAAGACATCAAAAATAACAGATCATTAATCTGTGTGAGGCTCTAAGCCCATTCTCCCACTGTCTTCCTTACATTTAAGACCACATCATGAGCTTGATGGGGCAGGACTGGTAAGGACAAGGTGCCACAGCTGCTGGCAGCAGAAATGCCATGTCCCCAGACCTGCTGGAGGAGCATCGAGTGGTAGGAACCCACTGCTGCCTCCCAGCTGCTGCACATCCAGCAGGAAAGGAGAAGGGAAGCTTTTTCACCAACCTAACTGAGGAAAGGTGTTTGCCAATGACATTTGCCTCTGGATCAGCATTAAAAATGTCCTCATTCAAAACCCAGGCAGTAAAAGAAATTACACTGGCTTGTGTTGGATGGGGATGCCTCTTTCCAGCAAAATGGCATGGTCATCAAATCCCACACTCTGAAATGGCAGAGGTTGCCTTGCAATGGAAACCGTCACAAGAGGAGCTAGGGGAGCCCCACAGCTGACAGCTGTTTCCACCGCTGAGCATATTTCCACACAAGGCTGGAGGTAATTCTCAGAAAAACTAATAAATTGAACATAAAGAGTTTAAACCATCCAGATAAACAGTGGCAGATGTTTAGGGATGGAATAATAGGCAAAACTATGAGTTATGCAGTGCCTGCAGTTCAAAGAAAATTAGTTCAAACTGTGAGGACATTGTTCAGAGGAACAGTAAGGGATAAAGCAACAGCAGGAGGGAGAAAAGGAGAGGGAAAGCTGTCTCACTTTCCTCAGATGCATGAGAACCATCCCCAGCTAGCATGGAGAAACACACCTTAATCATCAAATAGCAATCTGAAGTTTACAGTGGAAGCAGAAGCAAGTACCGCCACTCAGTCGCACACCCTAGCCTGCAGAGCCAGTTTCCCCAGAGCACTGAGCATTTAATGGGGCTGCTGATGTGCAGAAATGCTGAATGTCAACACAAACCCTGCGTCTTCCTGCAGATGTTTCCAGTAAAGGGCAAGAACTGGGCTGGTTGTTGGGATAGGGACTGAGGAACCAGGACCCCTGCATTTCATATCTGACGCTGTTTCGCTGTCCAACCTTTCACATAACATCTAACCTCTGCAGGCAGCAGTTCAGCTTTCTGTAAAAGAACTTTTTCCTTCCCATGGATGTGAGGAGACCTAACTCCAATTAATAACTCTGCTGCCAGCTCTCTTCTTCCTCATCCAAGGATGGAGCAGATTTTAATATGATACTTGTGCCAGAAATTTACTCTTTTGAAAGACGAAGAAAATCCTTCTTTTTCAACGAGACTGCAGCACTTATGCCTTTTTTTCTCAGATTTCATAAGGTATAATAGGTAGTGTTTAAATGAAGAGGGCCAAATTATCAGAATGCTTTTGAGCTACATAATGACTATAGCTAACAGCAATGCTTGACTTGGCAGCACAGTCTTCAAGGTTATTTAGCGAAGCACAGAACGTACAACAAATAAAATAAAAAGGCAATTTTATTATGTCTTTGCAAAATAAATTTAAAATTAATCAATTTGCTTTTCACTTTTATTTTGCCTTTTTGTTTTGGCTATCAATAAAAGCAACCTTGAAAATGCAACACAAGAAGAGCTAGAGAGGAGTGATAGAAGAACAATAAAATGAGGAGGAATGCAAGTCAGTACAGAATGTCTTTGATCATTACAAAGCTGATTATCAAGAAAGACAACTCAGTATGCATGAATACAGAATAAAGATGAGTTTGGTAAACCTTTACCACACAATACGTATGTATTTGTGTGCCTGAAGAGACGGTGCTTAGGAAGGAAGCAACAGAGGGAAATCTAAGCATATGTGCGTCACTCCAATAGCAGGATGGAAAGGAGGAAGAACTTCCAGTCCATTTTACTTTGAGGCACAGTTAATGCCACAACAAGCTTCCATTATGCAGCCACACATTAGTCGTCCTATTGCTACAAAACGGGCTGTAAATCTGTAGAGGAATTATAAACAAAAAAGAAATAATTCCCAATTCTCTATATTTTTGATAAGAATTGAAAATTGATCCATCAAAAGCAAGAGACACTAGCTAACTCCACATTTTCCGTATTTTTTTTCCTTTGGTATCAGACCTGTTCTTGATGATTTTTCAGAAAACAGTAGTGGGGATCTATGCTGTTTAGACGTACTGACTGTTGTATATTCAGTCCTTCCAAACTAATCTGCCCCTGCCTAAGAACAAATTTCCTGAAAATTTCACAGGTAATTTTTTAATAATCTCAAACATTTTCTTCAGAGGAACAGTGCAGGGAAAGATAGCTCAGTCCTTTGAATTCCACAAAAGATTTCACTCTTTGCCAAACCCATACCCCTTCCAATGTTTTGCATTTGCCCTTAGGTGGGAGCTCTCTCCCTGGTGACCCTCAGTCACGCTCCTTCCCCATAGCCCCACATCCAGGCAGCGTTCCTGATATCCAGGCCCCTGGCAAATGCCAAATATTACACCCTAGAGATGCTGCTTCCTCCGACCTCAACGGGCACGGCAACAGAGAGCAGGTGGTCGCTTTGTCCCCTCTCCTGTGGGTACCACAAAACTGACTTACTGCCAGAGGGGAAAGGGCTGGGGGAAAACTGCTGTCCTGCCAAGTGGAGAAGGGTTGATGCTCTGCTGAAAGCAGCTGACCTGAACAAGTCAAGTAGCAACTCTGCAAGCCTTCAGTATAGGGGTCTGTGTTTCTTGGACTGAAACGCATTGAAAATGCAATCTTGCACGGAAATATATTGAACTGAAATGCAGCCTTGCAAACAATGAAAAGACAGACTTCAATATTGGCACATGTTCTGATAGGCATGATCAGAAATTGCTCTTTGTTTGAAGTCTGAATTTGCCCTTATCCTATATTGAGGGAATGAAAATGGCCTAAAAGTTGGCTCTTTGGGGCTTTTGAAACAAAATGTTAGCTGCTCACATCTCTTTTTTAATTGATCCTTCTGTATGGGATCCAAATAGCTGAAGCATTTTGTCCAGAAACTCTCAGTTGTAGAACAAGCAGTTATATGAAAGAGCTTACTGGTTGATTTTTTCCAACAGCTTTTGGTGAATGATAATTGGCATGCAAATAAAAATAGAGATAAACCTTATGCTAGCTGAAAAGTTACAAAGTAGTTATGTTATGAAAAGTAATGTTTGACACTCCATTAGCTCATTAAATTAAATCACAGAGAAATGGCTTTTTTTTTTTTAATGCAATATCAAAACTACTGCATTTCTGGGAGACATTTCTGGTGGATTTCTGTATGTGCTGTTTGGAGATTGTGTATTGTAGGTGTGTATGAAATTTTACAGCTATGCCAAAAGTATTTTATAATAAAATTTTACATACAAATTACAGCTATATACTGTAATTGGCTATTCTTTTTTTTTTTTTAAAATATGTATAGCATCTCCAGCCATGCATCCAAGGCATGCAAAGTGATTTTTCAGCTTATGATGCTTCAAACCATTAAACCACCAAAGAGCTGTGAATTAAACATAGTGCAAGCAATGGCAGCATTCGCACCAGCATATCAAACCAGAACAAGAATTGCACAGACTCTCAAATATCAAACTTCGGGGTTGATTCATTCAGTGGTTCTGTGACCTGACAAGGCAGTATGATTAATTGCACGCATATTCCCTTGGAGGCTTTCCTGCTCATGCTCTCTGCAGCAAAGACTGTTAACTTGACAGATCAGCACAGCAGCCTCTTAAGATACCAGAAAGGGAAGAGGTTGGTTTCTGATTGAAAGATAATGGAGGAATAGCAGCTGTCCTATGCCGAGGAAAAAAAAACCAAAACAAATAGCCTTTGATTCTCAGAGAACCCCCACACAGAAATCAGTTGATTTTTCAGTAGCTCTGGCTATAAGATTTCTGCCCAGGATTGAAAGACCATATTTACATGATACTATAGGTGCCATAATTAGAAATTCAGCTGTAGTTCCTTTCATTTGATTATCTAAACATAAGCCATGGCCTGAGTGTTTTTCTTTTCTTAATAGACACTCTTGTGGATGTCTCCTCTTCCACATGTTTGTTCTTGGCTTTAAAATACTTTGGTCATTTAGGCTTAAGTTTGCAGAAACCCAATTCAGCAGGTAGCTCCCATATTTGCAGTACTGAGCAAAGAGGCTTGCACAGCACATTCCTTCTGTTCACAGGCAATCCACATGGTCCTGCCATTGGACCAGACCCACTGCGAGTCTTAAATAGGTTTAATTTTTTGAGTAAGGCCCAAACCCCTAGCAAACTGCATTAGACACTTCCTCAAGGACACTTAAGCCCTACAACCTTATTTATTAAAGGGTTTTAAACATTGACCAATGTTTCCTCTTTCACATTTCCCAGATGGACTCTGACTGGATAACACATGCTTGACAGATTCTTTCATGTAGTGTGTGAAATGAGCTCAGATGCATGATAGCCCTCTGTAGACACACCTGCTCCTGTGGGCATGACACTGCAGCCCTGGCTCAGGAATGAGAGCTCCCAGAAGCAAATTGTAGGCAGGGAAACCCCACGGACACCATCACCAGGGCTAAGGTGGTCAGGGGCAGGCTGAGCCAAGGTGGCCGATCCACGGAGAACCCTGCACTCTCATGCCTCATAGACATCTTTGTTCTGTTCTAGGACAAATCCCTTAAAACCCACCTGGAAGCACAAGTCTGGAAACTGGGACCTGGGCTACCTTTCCACTGCACTTTCTAACTTTCGTTCTCCGGCACCTACTGAAGAGCTCAGTTTACAAATGTCCTTAAAATCCATCACTCTGTGCTGGACCTCTATCATAGGGTTACATTTATAGCAGAAATTGTGAGTAATGGTCTTTTAAAATGTCCCTGGATACTTCCATGACATCCCTCATCTACTCCGAGCATTGAATTAAGCTCTTCATTCAGTAGCTGAATTTTCTAACATATTGTGAAATCTTGTCTATTACTGGCAACACCAAAACACAAAAAGCAGGAGAAGTGCAACAAAAAAATGCTCTTATTACTTTGACTTTTAAAATGAGCCTAAGAAGCTAACAGGAAAGATACCACATAAAAAAATTTATGTAATTGCACCGCATGAAAGAGAAGGCAGGTCTTACTAAAGCAGAGCAGTAGACAGCACGACAGAAGAAAATTCCTCAATGCAGTGGCATATAAATATTGAATAAAATGCAAAAATTGACTCTGCAGATGGCTCTGGGAAAAGCAGCCGCTCTGGCTGCAAATATGTTTCAGAGAATACACCACCAAAACTGGAAATCTGCAAAGCCAAGGAGGAAATCAGTGAATAATCCACTAAAAGGAAATCCCCAGCTTCCACAACCAAGTACAGAGATTACAAATATGTTTCTAAATCAATGAGGGGCGGGCTGGGACAGAAAAGTGAATTTTAGGATTTTTTTTTCCCCTTAGTATCACACACTGCCATGCCAGTCTTTGCATACTGCCTGTCTTTGCATACTAATTTAGATGTTTAACTTGGGATGTTAATCTTACAGTAAGATAATTTAATATCATCTCTGCAACCATTACTTTCTTCCAGAGGCCTTTGCAAATGACATTTCCAACAGATTTAGATATATGATTGCCAATCAAGTGAGTTGCATCAGCTCAATTTGCTTCTTGCTTTTTGCTCAGAGAACCAGCTGTACAATTCAGTCACAAAAGCTTCTGGAGCAAAGCTAGAGCGGATTTCGTTAATCTGGATTTGCGAGCCCCAAGGTACTGGCTTAAAATTTCATGATGAATCTGTGTCACTCTGTATTTCCTTCTGCCTTGGGAAAACAAAGGATGGATATATGCAGAAAATCAGAGTTATTCTCCTTAACTGTAAGAAGCTACCGTGCAGAAATAGACAAAGAGAACTTGCCATCACCTTAGCCAGGTAACCAAACCACCCCACAATGGCAGCTTTCTGTGCTTTGCATAGTGTGGAAAAGTAATATATATGTATAAAAAATAGTAACTAACCCCCTGAATGAGACACACGATGCAATGTTTCTGTGGGTTGCTGAGGCAAGAGAATAGCAGAGGATGCAAGCAGTGGCCTTGCTTGCAAGTGAACTTGAAGATACAAGTGAAATGAAAGAGTGCCCTCTGCAGAACAGCCCTTCCAGAAGTTGGCAGGCTTTCCTCTAACAGGCTGAGCTCATAGCCTCTCTTCACCCTGTATATCCAGCACTATATTTCTCAGCAGGCTGAGACAGAGGTTATCTGTTTGAGCCTGGCAACAGGCATCTCCAAAGGGGTGATGTTTAACACAGAGAACTGGAAATTCTTCTCACAAGAACTGTTTTTCATCCATGGGACTGGAGGTGCTTGAACATGTGCAACCAACACGAACTGGATCTTTCACGTGGAGTAACATGCCAAGAAGCATCAAGTTCCTACCTCCACAAACATATTTCCTTAAATTCCTTTGAAGGAACAGCTATCCCAGTGTGGACCCGGACCAGAGGACTCTCCAAAAGTCACATAGCAAGTAAGAAGGGGGGCTGGGAATGACCTCCAGTCACCTGCTGCCCCTGCCATATATCACCCTTATCACTGGAAACCACAATGTGTACAAGAAGCCTCATGGAAATCAGTTGGAAAACACACAATACAATTCATCTGAAGAGGACACTGGGCAATACAAGCAGATTTGTCACTGTGCCAACTAAGCTTTCAGGCTTTCAAATCTAGCACTTTTCTCATCCTCAGGAAATACTTCTGTTAAGTGTTAAAATCACAACGAAACACAAGGTATTTAAACGTAATACTAAGAATATCAGAGATTAGTACAATGCACAGTATGTTTAGAATTGCAGAATTGTTAATGTAAATTAAAATGCTTTGCCAGTAATCACTCATTTTCCTGACTGAGCCACACGGCTTTTCTTCTCTGCTGCACTTCAGCCTTGCAAAGCTGCACAGCTGGTCCCAGGGGGGTCCAGCCCTGTGGGAGTATGGACGTGTGCCATGAAGCTACTCTGGCCTCAGCCCCTGACTATGGTATGCAAAAAAATGTGCCCAGGGAAACTGCCAGAAATATGGAAATCTCTGCAATGAGCAAGTGGACGAGGGCTGGTACTCCAATCATACACAGTGAGGACCTGGAGCAAGCAGAGAAAGGAGACTCAGCAAGATTCCGTGCCCGAATTGCCTTGCATTTTCTGGAGCGTCCCCTGCATGGGAGCCTTCATGGAGCTGGTGTGACTGGGATGGGCAGTTCAGCAGCAAACACCTAGAGCCCTACAAGGAGCTGATGTCTTCCCTGGCTATTCCTGGATTCTGGTGAGAAGGATCACACCATTGCTCACAGGCTCTCCTCAGCAAGTGCACAGGCACTCCAATTTTGAGGGAAGATGCTAGTAAAATATATTAATGTAAAACTACTGATGTAAAATTCCTGATGCTTACAGTCTGAGAGCATTCATGAAGAGTGTATCTGAGAGGGGACAAGAACAACTGTAGGGACTGAATACCACTGAGGCAATAAAATTAGATCCAGCATTTAATCATCTTTCCAATAATATTTCATTTTTTTGATAACTACTTTTGAGAGATTTCTACATTTCATCAAAATGAACAGGTGATGATGAAAGACTTAGTCTAGACAGAAGTTAAAGTTTGAATTTTAAAATTAAGTTCTACACAGTGGGAAAAAAACCCAAATCAGCACAGTGTTATGTTTGTCTTAAAGCCTTTCCTTTTAAATAAAAAAAAATTCCAAAGGTTAAAAAACCCAAAACAATCAAATTTTATTATTTTGAAAATAAGGTCTATCTAAAGTAAATATTTTAAAATTTAATATTAAACATTAGCAAAGATCGCTTTGTAGAGATGAAATGAGCATCATCAGGGAGTTTTATAAACTGTCTCACTTCCACTAGGACTTGGGTAGCTGCAGTTCAGCACTAACAGCACACAGCATATTTGGTGCAGTGTAGATTATTTTTTTTTTGGTAGAATATACTTATTTACTGTCATAGCAGAAGAAGCAATTAGCTGGCATTTCATGGGGCAGTCTTCTAAGAAAAATCCTGAGGCAAGAGCAACTCCACCATCAGATCAGACCCTGGTAGGAGACGAAGGGTGCCCCGCAGACCTGCAGGTGTGTCAAGTTTCCCCACTTGAGACCTTCTTGCAGATTTTTCTTTTCCATCAGCAGCCTTGCCACTCACAAATGCTTCTTCTTTTGTATTGCCTCTGCCTTGACAGCCAAGCTCTTGGCACAGATGGTCAGGACCACGATGAGGACTCCAACCAGGAATGTCACCACAGGCCAGAGGAAGCAGTGCAAGAGGACAGTCTCATCATGGGTGCGCTTCAGCATCACATCATCTGGCCTGTGAAGAGCAGGAACAGAAAATGTAGAAAATATAAATCAACTCAATATCATCAGCTCATCATTAGTGGAAATCGTCCACCATGGAAAGAGTAAAGGTGTTTTATTTGCTACAGTGTTAGAAAATGATTAAGTGGACCATTTCATTCACTGCTTTCGTTTGCCCGTTTATCACCAGCACTCGTGGTGGGCTGTAAGAGCTTTCCACTTGCAGTGTTTACAGGCTAACAAGTTTATCTGGATAAAAAAAAAAAGGGGGGGGGGGTTGGTACTTCAGGTGTTCTAGGGGTCATGGTCATCACAAAGAGCTGTGAGAGATACAGTATCACACTGACTGTGGATTGGAAAAACCACTCTAGCAAAAACATAATACCAGGCAGCATTTATACATGTCTAGCTCAGATGTCATCAAGCCCTGTGCAATGGCTTAAGTGTAATCAAAGCTTCCCTTTTAGCTTGGAGCGCTGATGTGTTCATGAAGGCTCCCGGTGAAGTAAGTCCTGGCTGTGGTTTGGGTACAGAGCCGGTCCCTGTCCTCAGCCCTGAACTGCTGGTGGCCCAGGCTGGCCCAGTTGCACTGGCAGGCAGGAGTCTGCACAGAGTCTATCCCCAGGAGGACGACAGCCTGGCCCCATGTGGCCAAGGTTCCCGACTCAGCCCCTTCCCAGCAGTGGCTATTTCAACAATAAGCTGTGATTTGGTGCTGCAAACAGCAGCGTCCAAGTAGGCTACTACAGGGACACTTTGGGGAGCCTCCCTCAAACATTTGAACCTCCATGCCTCCATCAACAGCATCTAACACACAGTCATGGTCGGGTCTGTAACAGGTTTATGCATTTCCAAGGGAAAAGGCTAATAGCAAGGAGGAAGCATCTTAAGATATTCAGAAATTTAGCTGTGCCACGTGTCTGAAATATCAGTTGTCCATCCGCCTCTTCCAAGTCTGGGAAGTCGGTTGGGAAATCCGATGCCAGGTTTTCCTCAGCTCTGGCTCTTTCTGCTCTCCTTGCAGTTTAACAGTTACTAAATCAGTCTCATGGCATTTGCATTTTGTTGCTGCTTTCTCATCTAAAGCCAGACACATGCAGCCCCTGGAAAATTACCTACAAAGGAAAGAAACAGACTTTCTCTAATTAGGAAAATATCTATAGCCTTGACTCATGTTGGTCCTCATTTACATTGAACTTTCCCATCACGTGTTGCTTTATCAATGCTATCTGACACTCTTTAGAGCAACAAACCCCGCAGCCTAAAACCCTGCCAACCCAGGCTCATCCAGCCAGGTCCTGAGAATTAAGCTCTTCTTAGTGGCACATGGAAGCAGACACCTGCTCAATGACTGTGCTGTCTCTCCCACAATAGTTTTATCCTGATCAGAAAGCAGCACCAAGAAAGCATTCTCCATAGAGGAAAGAAGAAGAACCTCTTATTCTTTCACTGAGAAGTTAATTTATGGAGATGTTTGCAAATCTATGGAGTTTAATCCATCCTTACGGAGTTAATGGAGCTAGACTGTCAAGCTACAACTTATCCCAGATTTAATTGCACCTGGATTTGCATTTGGGGATCTCTCACCCAAAATTGCTAGGTGAAGGATCCTCTGCACTGTGCCAGCCTGCAAGTCCCCAAGGCTGACACCATGCATCTCTCTTTGTTTGTGTAGTAAGAAGCAGAATAAGACTGATTATGAGCAGCTCAGCTATAAAGAAGTTGAAATTCAGCAACATAAAAAATTGCCAAAAGAACCCCAGGTGTATTCAACAGTGGAGTGCATGAAGTCTGCTTAACCAAAATCCTAAATATATATAGGTAGGCACAGGTGGAGACTATAAATTGAATGAAGTAGTAATAACTTTATAGGCACAAACTCACCAGCCTATGCCATAAGAATGACAACACCTGAACAGAAAAATCCTTTCACAAGAAGTATAATACTGCTTCCCTCATATTTACTGTATCATCATCTGTGCATAACAGAGTGCTAGTTGGCAATGAGGCCATAAGTAGAGAGCACTCAATCTTCACAACTTTCAGCTTACAAGTGACATTGAATTTTAAGTTTGGGGTTTTTTAAGCAGATACTCATCAAAGATTTCAAAAATAAGGGGCAAGAAGAAAACTTAGAAAATTGCATTCAGTTAAAGGAAAGAAAGTGTGATTGGGGAAAGTAAGGTATCTTTTTGACAAATTCCTAAATGTTTTTGAAAACACGTACCAAAGCTAGCAGCAATGGATGCCAAACACTCATTATAGGTGTGACTGTAACTTAGTAATTTAAAAGAATTTCCCTTTTGGAAAAGAGTCAAAGACAGAGGCCTTTAATTAAGCCTCAAGATGAGGTTTTGGTTCAGGTGGGTATTATTGCTATTTTTAGCTTCAGCAAGAGTCCCTGTGCAATTTTTATATGGCAGTGACTCACTGTCGACTGCACACAGCGTCTTTGCAGACAATGCATCAAGACATGACTGAGTCCTCCAAAAATACTTCAATAAATGGCTTCTGGCACCACAATTAAGATATTAAATGCCCTTCTTTAGTCAAGAGGAGGGAGCAGCACTTTTGGATGGTGATCTGACACCCAGGAAAACTCCGGAACCCTCTGGGATGTAGCCTTTTGGTACTGACTCTTGGCATAAAAAAATAGTGGGACAAATTTGGATCAATTCCCATGGTCCTGGGAATCTGGAGAGATCCCAGTTGACTGGAAGCTGCCTAACTTTGTCCCAGTTTTCAAAAAGGGCAAGAAGGATGACCCTGGAAACAACAGACCTCTCAGTTTCATTTCAGTGATTGGCAAAATTATGGAAATTATTCTGGGAGTAATTGAAAAACACCTGAAGGACAACACAGTCATTGGTCAGAGCCAGAATGGCTTCATGAGGGTAAAGTCCTGCTTGTCAATCTAAATTTCCTTTTATGACAAGGTAACCCAACTAGTTGCCCAAGGGAAGCCAGATGATGTAATCTTTTTGGATTTCAGCAAAGCTTCTCTCTTCTCTGTGGTGACCAGTGACAGAACCCAAGGGAATGGCCTGAAGTTGTGTCGGGGAGGGTTTAGGTTGGATATTAGGAAAAGGTTCTTCACCCAGAGGGTGGTTGGAAGCTGGAACAGGCTTCCCAGAGAAGTGGTCACAGTACCAAGCCTGACAGAGTTCAAGAAGCATTCAGACAATGTTCTCAGGAACATGATGTGTTTCTTGGGGTGGTCCTGTGCAGTGCCAAGAGCTGGACTTGATGATCCTTGTGGATGCCTTCCAACAGAATATTCTGGGATTCCGGGACACTCTAAACACAGTAATGTAACTGCTTTGGTTTTGCATGGTGAGGCTAGCATGTACTGAATCTGCAGTTTTGACTTTTTCTTGCTGCTTTTTTAAAGATGATGTGCCTGTTCCCAGAATCTGAAGGCTTGTTGTTTGGCTTGGAAACAGAAAAGGAAAGGTGCTGTGTCCCTGGGGGAAACCTTCTCATGTCTTTGCTGGAAGCCCCCACAGCATCACTCTCCTGGTGCTGAGGCACTCATGTTGAACCCAAACGAGGTATGTCATGCCTGGAAACTTATTTATTTTCCCTGTAAAAATCAGCAGATATAATTAAATATATCGCCTTGTCCCTGTAAGTGTAGTGCATTTAATAAACCTATCTTTGCTCTGTGACTTTCATACAACATTTCAGTTCAAAGATGTTGGCAGAGGGGTTGCACATATTCCCCCAAGGTCCATTATGGGCAATCTCTTGTTTCTAGCGATGCTGCCATTCAGGTCTCCAGTAAATGCAAAGCCTCTTGAGGGGATGCACCCAAACTCCTGACACCAGTTATCTGTGCACAAAACAGTGGTAGAGACAAAAAAGAGACCAAGGGGGAAAAAATCCACAATACTTGCAAACCCTGCTTAGACATTGGGACCTTGTTCTGCTGCAAACAGAGATGGCCATTGTGCAGCACCACCATCACTGCCCAGCAGCAGCCCCAGAGTGAAAAATGAATGAACAAACTAAAAAGTATCCCTGAACAAGTCTCTATTTCAACCCCAAAAATACAGCTTTCCCTTTCACTGACCAGACAACGAGGAAGGGATTTTGTTTTCATTGCTAAAAGGTGAGACCAGGACTTATTTTTAACAGGACTTTGTGCTCAGGGCTAGACCCTTGTGGAGCTCTGAGCCAGGTTGATTGGATTAGTTGTTTCATTATACAACACACCCCTGTTAGGTGTTGCCAAGCAGTTCAAACAGACACCACATAAAGCAGGCCTCCATTAGAACCTTCAGAGCCATTACGGAACATCATGGGAAGAATTGCAGTGCAGGAATTACCAAAAAGTCATGTAGGACCAAAAAGTTACAGGCCCATAAACATTTCATGAACATTTATGAACCACACTGTGCAACTTATGTTACACAACAAAAGCTGACAAAAGTGGGGGCATGGGATAGGGTAATCTCACAAATATTTTTTGTATTCAAACAATCTGGAATTAAGATGTTTGCAATACACTTATTTTGCCCACAGTTGTTCACATCCCGTCGCTCTGACAAGCAGTCATTTTTTCCCTTATTGTTGCAAGATGCAGAGATCCTCACCTAGATGGCTGCATGCAGGGGCAGTGCTGTGTCTTACTAACAGTAAAGTCCTTTCCTGTCAGCCCAAGCACTGCTCCACAGGTGATAAAAGAAAGGACAGGAAATAGCAACAGCATCTTCTGACTGGACAGAATTAATTTAGAAAAGTGTGAAGTAAGAGGCAAGTCAAGATTTATGTTCCAGCACTTACAGATGAGCAGCCCTACTACCTGAGCACTCTGGGCTTCTACACATAATTATTCCCCAATAAATAAGGACCCTGCAGGGTACCCCAACAACATACAGATTGTTGCTGATCACTGGACAGCGTTTGCCCTTCAAGTCTCTGCGACAGAGTGGTCTGAGTTGACAGAAACCTTGGTATCTTATTTTTTGTTCTTGTTGTGGATGTCAGTGAGACCTGGAACATGAAGAAATAAAGCGACAGGATCTTCCCCATCCCACCTGTTTCCCCAGACATCCCATTTTAGGACATGCAGCTGTGACACTTGTTTGCATGTGGTCCTGCCAACACTTGTGGTCCCCTTGAACACTTGGTGTGAAATCCAGAACACTGAAGCACTAGAGCTCAGCGTCTTTTCAAACCTTTGGCAACAGCCTGAGAACTTTATCTGAATTTGTCCTTTATTTTATGCTCTGAAATACAAAATATTTTTTCTTCTGCTGGGCAAGGCTTCCTTCAGATTGGAATATCATCATGCCAACACACAGGCACCTTCACCAGAGGTCCAGAAAAGCAACTTTCCCATGCAACTTGCAACTTGCCAGCCAGAGAAGAGTGGCACACTAAAAGTAAGTGCCTACAGTGGCAAAGCAAGACCTCAATTTTCAGTAAAGCGCTGAGCTCCAAGCTAAGCTGCTCTTAGTTTCCCTAAGATAAATGTCAGAGAGATAGTTTTGCTGGGCATCTCAATTTATATTAACCAAGAATGATTGAAATTGCCAAGTCTGCTTCTCATCCCTTTTGAACTGTAAGAATTGCATCTTTTTTTTCTTTTCACAGTAGCCTGTTGAAATGCGCACCACCAAACTGAAGGGAGATGTTACCTAATAGTACACTCTGCATGCAGCAACAATTCTGACAATGAAGGTGAATTAAGTTTGATGAAGAATAGATGATGTTAACTCATTGCCTATATGTTTACTTAGAATTTTATTCTGCCTTTTCAAAAGGGAGATTATTAATATTGCAAATAGTACTCTCTCTAAGGAGCTATTTTCTGTATGTTTTATATAGACTGACAGAGAAGACTTAGCTTATCCATAGAGTGAAAAAAATACTGACAGAAAATATGCCCATTTCTATTTTGAAGTGAACAGACTTTTCCCTCAGTTTATTATGGGTTTTTTTACTGCTTCACAAGCTGCTTAGTCATTGTTGCTCTAAAAGTATACCTAACATGCACATTCCTAGTCAGCAAAACTTATCTCCCAAAGTTCATTCCTATCTCCAGTAGAAAATAAATGGTGTACACATTTTGGCTTAGACTATCTTCAAGCATCTCTGGCAGTGAGCCTGTCTTCTGCTGTACGTGAATTGTTGTATGATCAGCAAAAGGCAGCATTTCAAGTCAACCATTGCACTGGCAAGAACATTCAGCAGTATAGGATTCAGCATCTTTAAGGAAAAAAACCTTGCCTGAGTGCTGCTCAATTCCTCAGTGTCAACTTACATGAATGGCAGATGCTACATGGTATGCAGCCTCAGAAAAATTTTGTCTGTGCTTCACCTAAATGTGAGAACCAGATCACATAGCTCTGGGCGCCTACCACCCTATGCTCATTTACAGGAGATAAATAAACACCTCTTGGCATCTGACCAATATTAGGCATTTATTTTGGGGTAAGGTAAAAGGTTCCTGTTTCTCTCTGCTGACTAGAAAAGCTAATTTTCACAGCATCCTGTCCACACTAGTTCAGATGAATCCTAGCCATGACTTCTCCTGCAGACAATCCCATGTTTCCGATTCTCCTGCTCACTCAGGCAGTGGCTGTTGCAGGTCCCAGGTCTCAGCAGTGTGGGGAACTGGAAGCACATGCCTGTTCAGAGAAGCCAAAATTATAACCGGGCTTGTGATTAGCAGACCCAAGCATTGGCACCTTGTGGACCAAAGGACCCCCTGAGAAGGTCCCTGACAGGTCTGTTGTCACCACATAGGATGCCCTAACCTACATGTGCTGTAAGCAGTTCTTCTTTCCCCTCTATAAGGAACAACAATTTTTGCTACAAAGCACTGGTGGGATCCCTCCACAAGGAGTTAACCAGGGCAACAGACTGTCATCCTGGGCATGCTGACTACGTCTCTCCAGGAAGGGGGTAATAATTATAGCCAGCCTAGGATAAACCTGAAGCCCCCAAGGCACTCAGTGGGCCACCCACAGGAGAGTTAGGCACTTCTCCACCTGCCACCCTGCTCCAGCTCCCCAGTTCGCCCAAGGTCCTAGCACACACTGGCATCCCTTTTCCTCCTGTTTCTCTAAACAAACTTGAATATCTGGTGCCAACATTCCCACACTGAGCCCCGAATCACACCTGCAAGCCCCAAGCTATTCCCTCCTAGGTCTCTCTTATCTGTTCAACTTCCAAGTGTTTGCGGGGTAGGACTAACCTCTTCCTGCTGCCACATCACCTTCTATTTCCTGGCATATCACCATCAGAAAGAGAGAGGCAAAAGGACTCCTTCCCCTGTCTGTTTATGGAAGGAAGGAAACCACACGTCACCCTCATACACCTGTAAGTCACATCAATATCAGCAGTAAAAGTAAGAATTGAAACAGAAGGGGAGATGCTTTAGCTTACTATTTTGTATTCTGCAAGCATTTATGAAATCTGGCAGTTCTATGAATGCTTATTACACATACCTGATTCATTAATCCTCTGTGAACACAATTCCTGAGTTGGTTTGTAGTATTTACTGATCTTCCCTTTTCTTCCACAAATACAAAAGGGTTTCTTCTCAGTGGAGGGAAGGAATGTTAATTTCCAAACCAGAAATTTGCCATTTGAGTGTTAAAAGCCAAGATGCTTTTTGTCATAAAAATTGCGTGGTTTAAGGAAAACTTTCCTCAGAGTTTTGTATTTTTACTTCAAGTGATAAAAACACTCCTGTGCTTTCTGTATAGCTTTTCATCAACAGAATGGTCTTGCAGAGTTCTGTGCTGAGCTCTGTGTGATAAACCACGTCACTTGGGGGGGGCGGATGTGTGTATACATGTGCATACATTTATATATATTTTCAAACAGAATCAATGGACAGCTGTTAAACAGATGCATAAGCACTTCTGCCTAGCCAAATGAAGATTACTCACCTCAAGTGCTGGTTAAAATAGCATGTAAATGGTTGAGAACCCACTTTCTCTTTCCAGTATTTCTGCTTGTACGTGACGTTCTCAGAGTTCTCCTGATCATCTCTTGCACAGGGAGGGATGTATGAACACTGCCAAGACACGTTGCAAAACAGAGTTACTTCTGTGCTCAGGAACACAGGGCATCACTTCTCTGCATTTTCCATAACGCCAGCATGACTGAAATGGACAGAGAATAATAAGAACAAGTTCCACAAAAACAAAAAAGAAAAGTTAGCTGAAATTTACTTCAATTGTTAGTTACTCCATGAAGGTACTGGAAAAGAATATGCCAGCATTCAGAAACAAAATAAAGGTTTTGTCATATTTTGTTCCATTTTCAAACCAAACTGCCTCATAACACCTTGGGGGTTTGCATGATGAATGGGAAAATAATTGTTTCATTTTGTTTCATTTTTGATGAATTCTTAGCCAGCCGCATGGATTGGATTTGAATAACTTCCTATTTTCAGTGAGGCACGTAATCACAAGTTTTGTTTAGTATCATGCTAATAAATAACTCAAAGAGTCCAGGAAGCTTTCCCAGATGATGGGATATCTGATATCTGGCTGAAATCCAGTGGTAAAAGAAGGTGTTCTTCCACTCTTACAACAGAGAGAAACAAGCAACAAAGTTCAAAGCCTCTCTTCAGCAGAAAGTTTCAGCATCTGCTTCTGCTGTACAGAAGTCAATAAGAGTTGAACATGCAGCTGAGCTATCTGCAGATCTCACCCTCAGACATCTACTTCGAAACCTAAAGAACTCAAGGGAAGTTCCTCCCACAGCTTGGTGCACTTGGGACTGGGCTTTCAGAGGCTCTGCTTCGGGTCACACACACACACACATATCTTAGTTTCCAAGTCTTGTCTTTGACACACCACCCTTACCTCCTAGCCACAGCCAGTTAAACAATAGAAAACAAATAGTCCACAGAATCAAATGTCGGCAGTATCAGAATCTCAGTGTCCAAGAACAATCTCTCTTATTTGTACTGGGTGTCCATGGAGATCATTACAGGAGGTGTTGAACCACACTGAGTAACACAGCTTAACTGATCCTCAGATAACACAAAGGCTTTTCGCCCTGCAGGACAGATGGACACCAAGGTTTCAGGTGCACACAGAGAATTCCAATTCCTTTAAAACTGTAAGCTGCAAACAGAAAAAACTGTTACTGTGAAGGCAGTTAAAAAGCCTCCTACTTGGGTACAATGAGGAAGCAGGAGGTGTAGGCTATGGGAAGCCCCTAAAGGGGTGCCCACATATCATCACAACATTAATTTCTTCACAATATCCTGAAGGCAGTAACAAGTAGAGAGATACCCTCTCTAATATGACAATAAAGATGATCATGACTCACTGTGCCGAGTGAGTGCTTCCTCTCCTTCTGGTGAAGTGTCCCAGGGGGCCTACCTTGCTCCCAGCTGCACACTATGCCCAAACTGTACAGACCTACAAGTCCATCTCCGCCGGACAACAGCTTGAAGCTTTGCCATTCCGGGGAGAAGGGAGAAATCTCAGGATTTTATTCCCCCGATGATGTAAAATCTGGCCACTTCTGTCAGCACATACAATTGTTGTCAGTGTCTTCCATGCTTAAGACTGGAAAAATCTGCAAGGTCTTCCATTCTGCTTCCAAGCTGGAACTTGCCTTTTTCATGTGCAAGGATTCCCATTTTCACATGAACCCACATCTGGTGTTGCCATGGCACAAAGCTCTCTTTAGTTCCCTGTTCAGATGACCCTAAACAAAGATTGTTCCCACTGCTGATGACAGAGGAGAGAAACAAGCAGCAACGCCATTCTACTTCAGAAACCAGAATGCAGGATTTATCACATACAGTTATTGCCATCTTAGATAATACTCCCTGGTCAGCAGTGGTTTTTTTTGATTGCGTACTTTGGAAGCAGCAGGCACCCCCCCTCTCTCCTGCATGCCCCCAGTGCATAAACACATCTGTGCAGCAGCTAGACAAGTCAGCAAATTTGGCACGGAGACACCTGAGTGCAATGCTGGCTCTGCTCTGCCCCCATGACAGCCCCAACATACTTCAACCATGCCAGCTGGTCCCCTCTTCCCTGTTTGGCCTGGGGTCTAGCACACCCAGCCTCCGCTCTGATGCTTTTTTTTATGAAGGATTTCAGATCCTCCTTTGGCAATGGTATCATATCCCACCAATTGTACACTGACTGCCTATGCCTGACTGGAGTCACCATCCTGCTCTTCCCCAAGCCCCCAGCTTGTAGGTAGCCCCCAGCTTGTAGGTAGCCCCCAGCTTCTGGGGTCTCTAAAAAGAGCCCCCCAAACCAACCACTAATTAGCCAGCACACAAAATGCAGAAGTAGACAAAACAACTAAGTACCAATGTACATTCTTCTGCCTAAATTTCCTCAACTATCTCAAAAACTACTATTCCTGTGGTACTGGTTACATATGCATATTCCCTCTCTCCTCTGAAATGTTTCTTTCTTGTGTCTACAGCTTACTGCTATTCTCTGCTATGAAAGTGCACCCTCCCCACCACTCCTGGTTAAACTTTCTCTGGATCCTTCGGAGACCTTCCACCCCTACAAAATATTGCATGAATCCTTCACAAAGTTCATGACCTGGTGAACTGTTGTTCAGCCCCATCCTGAGTTTCAGGCTTAGAAACAACTGCAGAGGTTCTTTTTCTCAAGAGATGCCCATTTGAGCAGAAAAGTATCAAGCTATAGTAGTCTCCCAGGACAGTTACATCACAGATTACTTCACAATTTTTGCTATCAGTTCCCACACTTTTAGCTCAGTATGAAGCTATTAAACATTGAGGTTTTCAGGGCACGGATTTTTCTTGGTTTGGAAGATGTAAAGGGGCTCACAGACAACTTCTCTCTTCAACACTTCTGTCTTCCCCATACCAAAGCAAGACAGCGTGTGGGAGTATTGCCAGTACCTACAGGAAGGGGACAACAGTGAATGATCTCTGCAACTCAAACTTCACACTATTCTCTGCACAAGTAGTCCCAATGACAGCTGACATAAAGCATGCTGGATACATTTCCACCTCTTTATCTTCATGTAGAAAACACAAAGGGGACACCCTGGGTCTTACCATAAATTGATGTGACCTCACTGCTTGAGACTGTTGAGGATTAACAACCTTGAAGGGAGAAGTGGTCTCTGTCCAAATATGAATCCCAGAGGTCACTCTGAAACATCAACTCAAAGTGATGAAGCCCTTGAGCCACAATGAACACTCAAGGTCCAATTCTAATGTGAACTTATCACCTGCTGCACAAATACTGGAGCTTGTTTGCCTCCCTGGGTTGCCAGCATAGTCCCCACCAATCCAACATACATTTTGTCTCCTTCGGATCCACATAAGAGATGGATCTCTCTTTACTCAGCCTCCCAAGCACACTTCTTGGAGATTTTATTTGAGCAACTGTGTCACTCTCCAAAGTATAGTCAGCAGTCAGATAAAAGGGAATTGTAACTTTCACTTTAGCAACAGGCAGTTTCTGAAACGTTAATTACACAGTCCTCCCTCACAAGACATGGCATGAAATACTGCCATCAAAATACAAACAAATGCCAACCGTTTGAAAACAAGCTAGGACACCTGATGCTCAATTGCAGCTCACACAGAAACATCCATTTTCAGTGAAAGTATCCCACTCTATATTGCTTTGATGTTTTTTTTTCTTTAATAAGTGACAATGAAGTTGGAGAATAGCACTTAAGATTAGACAGTCAGAATAAATCTGATGGAGCAGACTCCTTTTTGGCACATCTTTTGATACGTGGAACTATAATTGCACCTCCTACACTATGTCATAGCAACAATAAAATTATTATGGAATTCCAATACAGTTTCAATTACAGAGCTCAAAATCAGTATCAGGTTGATAATATTCCCTCTTCAGTCAAAGCCAGTGTTTGGCTAGATGGCTCAGGATTCAATTCAATAAAAATGTCAGTGAACTGCTAATAGATCTTTACCCAAGGTTTTGTAAGATTTGTGTCTGTGTTTGCTGCAGGATGCTCCCACTTCAGTGTCTCTGCAGATGTGTGGGAAGATCCTTCTGATCCTTCATCAGAGCAGATGTTCTTCCACATCACAGAGAAAGAACAGAGGCTTGAACTCTTGATGATGGCTTAACTTCCAGGTAGCATTTCATGCTTTTCAAAGACTAATTCTTGCCTAACTCAGTTACATTTTTAAGAAAAAGGAGACAGACTTGGTAGGTTCTGAGGGAAGCTGTCTCAAGCCCGGAAGACACAGTCCACAAGGCAAGACCAAGAAAGTCTTAAATGTAAATAGACATAAGTAGAAGTAGGTCAGCTCAACAGCACACAAACCAATGTCACCAAGAAGCAAGTTTCCAAACTCACTTGCCAGGTGACTTGTTGAAGGCCATCCTCCTGGCTGCTGGTGAACTATGGGACAGAGCACGTACCATTTGTTTGGCTGGCAAAGCTCCACGTCATATGCCACACAGCTTGTGAAGCTCTGTGATGAAATGAAGTGGTAAGGATGCTGTAGGTAAGTATCTCTGCAAAAGTACAACACACCACTAAAACCAGCACCTGATCTTCAGGTGTATTGGGTTTGCTTGGCAAGGTTTTTGTAGTGGAGAGGCTACAAAAGTGGCTTCTGTGAGAAGCTGCAAAAAGTTTCTCCCATGTCTGACAGAGCCAATGCCAGATGGGTCTGGGACAGACCCGTTGCTGGACTCCAATCAACAACAGTGCTAGAGCCTCTGGGACAACGTATTTAAGAAGAAGGAAAACTGCTGCACAATAGTAGCCAGGAGAGAGGAGTGAGAATATCTGAAAGAAGCAACCCTGCAAACACAAAGGTTAGTGAAGAAGGAGGGGGAGGAGGTGCTCCAGGTGTCAGAGCAGAGATTCCCCTGCAGGCCACAGTGAAGACCATGGTGATAAGACTGTTCTCTTGCAGTCCAGGGAGATCCACAGTGGAGCACATAATCACCTGCAACCTGTGGTGGACCCCACACCAGAGCAGGCGGCTGCTTGAAGAAGGTTGTGACCCCATGGAAAGCTTGTGCTGGTGCAGAGTCTAGGCAGGACCTATGGTCCTGTGGAGAG